GTCTGATCTCATTTGTGATTGCTGAAGGCTGGGGTGGCTATGGCAATTTCTTAAAATAAGACATCAATAATGTTAGTCACATCAATTGATTCTTCTTTACATGAAACATTGTTAGCATGTGATGCTTTTTGATAGCGTTTTATTCACCGTACTTCTTTCGAAATTGAAGTCACCTCAACTCTAACACTACAAAATCAGTTTACATAACTTTCTAAACCCATTGTTGTCATGTCAACAATGTCCATAGCATATTTACTAGGAGTAAGTTTCATTATCTCAACAAAACACTTTCTTTGATCATCCATAAGAAGCAACTACTGATCTGTTCAAGTTTTATGATGAGATTTCGGCGTTTTAGTCATATATTCAGGCACCACTTCTAATTCTAGTATGCTTTCTGTTCCTGCCATAACTTCAGTTACTTCCTCCACTAAGTCTTGAACCTCTCAAAGTCATCCATGAAGGATGACTTTCCATCAACTTCTGTTAAATTTGATGGTTTGACTTCCTCCCATGAATCACAAGTGTGCTTAATGAAATCTATAATGATGAATTCTTTCCAGGAGTTTTTCAATATCATTTGCCCAAATTCACCAGAAAATTGCTATCTATCTGTATCAGCCATGGTCTTATGAATTATTTTTACTAAACAATAAAACTTGAAAGTCAAAATTATTCTTTGATCTATGAGCTGCAGAATAAATGTTGTATTAGCAAGCATGAAAACAACATTGGTCTCCTTGTATACCTCCCTCAGAGCTCTGAGGTGTCTAGATGAATTGCCAATGAGCAAGCATACTTTGAAAGAAATGTCTTTTTTCTAAGCAGTAGATCTCAAGAGTGGACTTAAAATATTCAGTAAACTATACTCTTAATAAATATGCTATCATCCAGGCTTTATTCTTTCATTTATAGAGCACAGGCAGAGTATATTTAGCATAATTTTTAAGAGCCTTAGGATTTTTTGAAAGGTAAACAAGCATTGTCTTCAACTTAAAGTGATCAGCTGCATTAGCACCTAACAAGAGAGTCAGCCTGTCCTTTGAAGCTTAGAAGCTGATACTGACTTCTCTCTGACAATAAAAATCTAGATGGCATTTTCTTTTAATATAAGGCTGTTTTGTGTACATTGAATATTCATTATTTAATATAGCCACCCTCATCAAGTACCTAGATCTTCTGATTAACTTTCTGCAGCTTCTGCATCAACACTTACTGCTTCATCTTGCACTTTTATGCTATGGAGATGGCTCCTTTCCTTAAACTTCATAAACCAACCTTTATTAGCTTCCAACATTTTTTTTTTTTCGGCAGCTTCCTCACCTCTTTCAGCCTTCAAAGGATTGAAATGAGATAAGGCCTTGCCTTGGACTTGGCTGTTACTTAAAGGAATGATGTGGCTGTCTTGATCTTCTATCCAGATTACTGAAACTGTCTATATCAGCAATAAGGCTATTTCACTTTATTATCTTTTGAATGTTCACTGGAGTAGCACTTTTAATGTCCTTCAAGAACTTTTTCTTTGCCTTTATAAGCTGGCTAATTATTTTGCACACGAGGCCTTATTTTTGACTGATCGGAGCTTTCAACAGGCTTTCCTCACTAAGCTTAATCATTTCTAACTTTTGATTTAAAGTCAGAGATATGTGACTCTTCTTTTTACTTGAATACTTAGAGTCCACTGTCGAGTTATTCATTGGTGTAATTCCGAAGTTGTTGTCTCTCAGAGGCCTGAGGAGAGGGAAGGAGGTGGGGAAATGGCCAGTCAGTGGGGCAGTCAACAGAACACACGCATTTACGTATTATTTGCTGTTTTACATGGGTATGGTTTGTGGCATCCCAAAATAATTACAATAGTAATATCAAAATCATTGATTACAGATAATCACAACAGATATAATAATAAATAAAAAGTTTGAAACAATGTGAGAATTACGAATATGTGACACAGACACAAAGTGAACATGTACTCTTAAGACAAGGCACCAATAGACTCATTTTATGCAAGGCAAAACTTCAATTTGTAAAAAAGCATAATACTTATGGAGCACAATTAAGTGGAACACAGTAAAACGAGATGGTATTTATTTTGTATTTATTTTGCAGAACAATTCTACATGTTCTTAAATCATATAATATGGCCATCTCTAGAACCAAGTGACACTTTTGGCAATTTGGGAACAGCTTCTCAAAATAATCATGTTTTAAGAGAAACTATATATTTGAAACTTTGCATAGGTTCTTTTGAGATAATTAAACAATGAAAGTTCAAAATTGAACTTTAATTATGTTAAGAAAATAAAATTTAGTTCAGTGTTGCATGGCTTGCTTCTCAGTCACCAGAAGCATAGACTATTAGACAGTCATTTCTGCCATCATGTCTAATGAATAGTTTGGTATATAGCTTCTTGGTAACATAGCTACCATTTTAATCTGGTTGGAAAGTGTGATGATAATTAAAATTTGTAGCTGAAACTCCTGCCTTGCATGAAAATCACCAGGCATTTTTATCCATATTCCTATTTTGATAATAAAAACTTTGATAATGAGCAGGTAGATATATTATTTGCATTTACTAAAAAACAAAACAAAACTACCCAGAGTCTTCAAAGATTAGTTGGTTTGCCTAAAGTTGCATAGGTAGTTAGTAACTAACAATACCAAATTAATATGCCTTGTTATCTTGTGGCAATTACAGCAAATTACACTCCACGCTATGTCTAAAAATTAGAAAACACAGACTTAAACATCCATATAATTTATTTTAAAGTACCATTAATTGTTGTTCATTTGTATGGTTTAATGATTTGGCTTCCCAGAATGTTGAGCTTTCCTAGCTTCCATCAGAGCCCAAAGAAGTCATGAACCACACCATGCTCTATTATAACTTCAGGGCTAGTTGTTAGCACTAATAACATAAGATAATAATTGTAAATAAGTGTCATTTTTGTTTGTACTTTTATTGCATATCACTTCAGCCTTTATTTTCTATCATGCTCTATGTGAATGCTTCCAAAAGAAATTTTATGTAATATATATTTAAAAATACATCAAGGAAACAATTTTTAAAAGCAATGGCATTTCAGGAAATGACTAGAAGAATTAAGCAAATTACGCTCATTATGGGCATGGCTTAATTTTTCATGCATCTGTCCAACTGCTGTTTTATTTTTTTGAAGTTCCAATTGTATCAATCTAGATATATTTGAATGAATGTTCTAACTGTATTCTATTTTTTTTAATTAGGGGAAAATTAACATATCTACCTGCATGCTATTTCCTGTCTTTCTTCTTTATCTACTTCAAACAAAGAAGTAAAAATTATAACTGTTTGAAAAAATGATGGAGACATCAACCATGACATTTAAGGTAAAATAAACATCAATATCTAAAAGAAGAAAATAGTTCACATTATTTTGCAAGCCATTATTCCTAGATGTTTTAAACTCGACAATTTAGGTAGCAAAGGTGGTCTTTATGAATAATAAAAGAAACAGTAATGATAAAGTTATTTTTATATAATATGACATATTATTCAGAGATTTTTATGTTAATGTCCTTTATGTGGCTTGGAAATCATTGACTGTTGTTTTACTCAACTCACTGTAAGTTAGCACCACCCTCTTTAGGAGACCATGTCATAGCACAGCAGAAATTCACATTTAAAAACTCAGGGGTCTGGGCACGGTGGCTCACGACAGTAATCCTAGAACTTTGGGAGGCCGAGGCAGGCGGATCTTGAGGTCAAGAGATCGAGCCCATCCTGGCCAACATGGTGAGACCCTGTCTCTACTAAAAATACAACAATCAGCTAGGCGTGGTAGCGTGCGTCTGCAGTCCCAGCTACTCGGGAGGCTGAGGCAGGAGAATTGCTTGAACCCTGGAGGTGGAGGTTGCAGTGAGCCGAGATTATGCCACTGCACTCCAGCCTGGCGCCTGGCGACGAAACGAGACTTCTAAAAAAAAAAAAAAAAGAAAAAAAAAGAAAAGAAAAGAAAAGAAAGAAGAAAGAAAGAAAGAAAGAAGAAAGAAAGAAAGAAAGAAAGAAAGAAAGAAAGAAAGAAAGAAAGAAAGAAAGAAAGAAAGAAAAGAAAGAAAGAAAGAAAGAGAAAGAAACTCAGGGACACTTCCCAAGGTAAAATATTAGTCTCTTTTTTGTGTGTGCTGGGGGCGGGGGGTTGGGGGGAGGACAGGTATAGCTTTAGGCAAAACTGCGAAATTTGTAAAGCTCATACTTAGAGCTTGTTGTATCACCTTTTCTTATTTTTCTGGAATCCAAGGTGTTTGATCTGTCCTAGAAGAATTCTTTCATTATTGTTTTCAGTCTGAGGCCCTATGTTACACGGGAAGAGCAAATTTTCAACCCAATAATTCTTCTTATGAACTATGCTTGGGGTTTTGATTTAATATGGGTGAACTTTTATTTCCCAATTTACACTCTTGGTTAGAAAGCAATCTTTCTTACCACTTCCTCAAGTGAGTGAACATATTTATTTAGTTATTTATTTGTTGGTTGGTTGGTTGGTTGGTTTCTCCTTTACATATGGAGCTGGGTTTTGAGGCTTCCAGCTTTATACAACCATCTACCTCACCTGAGTAGGGAGCCAATGTTGATGTATCTTCCTAAGCAATAAAATTCTGGCCTGGAGCAATGGCTCAAGTCTGTAATCACAGCATTTTGGAATACTGAGGCAGGAGAAACACTTCAGCCCAGGAGGTTGAGACCAGCCTGAAGAACATGGTGAAAACTCGTTTCTACAAAAACATACAAAAAGTTAGCTGAGTGTGGTGATGTGTGCTTGTAGTCCCAGCTATTCAGGAAGCTGAGCTAGGAGAATTGCTTGAGCCCAAGCAGAGGTTACAGTGAACCATGATCACTCCACTGTGCTACAACTTGGGTGACAGAGTGAGACTCTGTCTAAAAAAAAAAAAAAAAAAAAAAGTCCCATGGTCTATGGATAGGTTTTAAGAGTGAAGGGCTAACATTCCCTTGGTTTTAGCTTACCATTCTCACTTTGTTATTAACCCTTCTTTACTCCTAAAGAAGTGGCGAGTTTATACCGAGGTGGCTACAGCCGATTTGCCCCCTACTGAAGTGACGTGAGATCCCTGCAAATGGGACAGCCCCCCAGTTCATGAGGCCTGGCTATTGCAATATTTACTAGTAGAGGAACTCTACAGCAAGATGAAGAGGAAAAACAAACAAACAAACAAAAAAACGCACAAAAAAAGAAAGAATACATTTTTATACCTCACTATGTTCTTTGAATATGTATTTTTCCTTTAAATTTCTGCCTTTAATTCTTTTGTTCCAAAGATTGTGCATTTTTTTCTTTTTTCTTTTTTCTTTTTTAAACTGTGGTTAAAAAAAAATAATGCAAAAACAAAACAAAACAAAACAAAACAAAACAAAAAAAAAAAAAAAAAAAAAACACTTCTTTATTCCTAAAGAAGTGGGTGAGGTCCAGGAATCTACACTTATGAAGTCCATTACCTTCACCTTTCCTGCTTTCCTTTCTCCTTCTTTCTTTCCTCTTACATTCCTTTTCTCTCTTCTTTCTCTTCTCCATTTCCTCTCCCCTTTCTTTCCTTTCCCCTTCACTTATTTCCTTTCCCTCAGCCCTTCTTTTTTTTCAATTTTTTCCTTCCTTTCTTTTAAATCTGCTATTTTTTGAATGATTACATATCATCTAGAATTTCCATGTGCTTCTAGTGTGTGTGTGTGTGTGTGTGTGTGTGTGTGTGTGTGTGTGTTTTGCATAGTGGGTCATCATTAACTTCTTCTGATACATAGTTGAAAGTCTATTTGACTCCAAGTCAAAATTCATGTTGTGCCCAATTAACTCAGGGGTCTGTGTTTTATGGACATGTTAACTAACATATTTTCTTCATTCAGAAAAGGGAAAATAACATTTAAATCAGATTAAATATGTTTACTTGCACATGTACCCCTGAACCTAAAATAAAAGTAAAAAAAAAATAATAAACGGGAAAAAATAACTCATCTCCAGATTGACAGTGAGGAATGACAAATGTTGGAAATTTCTTAGAGTGATGCAAGATGATGGAAAACAAATTTTGGGGCTGGTGTATTTTTAATACCCTCCATATCTCACCTATTCTACTTAGATGTGGGGCGAATTTGTTGGCCTAAAGGAATAAGTTTATGGCTGAAATATTTGAAAAGTGAAAATATTTTATTGAGCCCTTACATGTATTAGGAACTCTTAACAACAACCCTATAAAATAAATTACTCTCATTTTAAAGTTGAGAAAATGGAGGTAATGAGGGTGTAATGTGCCAGCAGTCACACAGGTAATAAATGGCTAAGCTGAGATCCAAACCTAGGTAATATAGATCTGTTGTGATTAATCAATCTATTGAAATGAAGCTAAAGGCAAGAAAGATAAGTCAATAGAACAATTGATTCTACTTTTATTTTTTATTTTTATTTATTTACTTATTTATTTATTTATTTATTTATTTATTTATTTATTTATTTTGAGACGGAGTTTCGCTCTTGTTACCCAGTGCAATGGCGTGATCTCGGCTCACCGCAACCTCCGCCTCCTGGGTTCAGGCAATTCTCCTGCCTCAGCCTCCTGAGTAGCTGGGATCACAGGCACGCGCCACCATGCCCTGCTATTTTTTTGGTATTTTTAGTAAAGACGGGGTTTCACCATTTTGACCAGGATGGTCTCGATCTCTTGACCTCATGATCCACCCACCTCGGCCTCCCAAAGTGAACAATTGCTTCTATCATTTTCTTGTATATAGATCTGATGAAGCCTCTGTATTTTGTCAAAGTCCAAAAGTTGTATATGCTTAACAACAATGGCAATAAAAAGTAGGTTAATAGTCATTACTCTCATAGCAACTTGCCCTACCATAGAAGAAAAGGTGCTCTCTTCTAAGGAAAACATTAGCAGATAAGGACCTTAATACAAGAAACTGCTTGTTAATTCACAGACACCTGTCTTAGCATCTGGCTAGAACACTGAGACTGGATCATCCAGTAACTACATCTACCTTTGTGCATTTTTCTTTTATAGCATGGAAAGAATGTTCAATTGCTTAGATGTGTAAAGACATGTAGCTCCATCTTGAAACTTTCTTACCCTAATGAAGCATTTCTGGTTTCAACAAAATAATTTTTTGGCTTAAAGAAAAAATTCCTATTTCTAGCTACATAGTCCCTATATGCTTTTATAAAGAAAGCATTGTTTAGCAACACACGCTAATAAACAAGGCTAGACTTGAAAAGTCCATTATCTTGCTTTGACATTTTTTTGTATTTTCTTAAAAGTAGGCTGGCGTGGTGGCTCAGACCTGTAATCCCAGCACTTTGGGAGAACGAGGCTGGTGGATCATGAGGTCAGGAGATCGAGACCATTCTGGCTAACACAGTGAAACCCCAACTCTACTAAAAATACCAAAAATTAGCTGGGCATGTTGGTGGGCACCTGTAGTACCAGCTACTTGGGAGGCTGAGGCAGGAGAATTGCTTGACCCCAGGAGACAGAGGTTGCAGTGAGCCTAGATCACACTTCCACACTCCAGCCTAGGCAACAGAGCAAGACTTCATCTCAAAATTAAAAAAAAACAAAAAAAAAAACAAAACAAAAAAAAAAAAAAAACAGGAAACAAAAGAGTAATTTCACACATTTTTGGATGCCTACTTGGGAATCCTGTGACAGAAAGCCAGGCTGGGGCAGTGGCAATATCATTTGACTGTGTGTAAAAAAAGTGTGGAATTTGTTTAAAAATTATATTTTATAGACATACATCCAGGGATTCTGATTTCATACTTCATATCAAGGGTGAGGTCCAGGAATCTACACTTACGAATGTCCTGAAAATTTGGGTACAGGTAGTCTTTGGAATTTACTTTTTGAAACTAAGTTAAGGAGTAGTTCACATACATTTTGGGCATCTGATAAAATGATTTGTGCCCATTTAATGAGATACAGTATCGTTATTCATGTTAAGCCTAGATTTCCTTTTTCCTCTAGAGCCTCATTCTTTCATGATGGAATTCCCTAATCCTCATTCTGTTTTTCAATCCAGTGGGATATTGCTTTGTTCTTTTTCTTAAGTCCACCTTCCATTTACTAGACTCTTTATTATTCTATAAGCTTTCATGTCCCCTGTCATCTTCTTAGTGGGCTAAGAGGAGACTTTGGAGCTTGTCTTAGTTGGAATTTGGACAGTAGAAGCTGGCTATGCAACAATAAACAATTGGCTTAACCTCTCTTTGCTTACGTTTAGTCATTTCTAAAATGGGGATGATAATAGTACTTAACACATACTTTTCTCTGGAGATTAAATAATATAATACATTTTAATTAGAGTGCCAGTTCATGGTAAGTGCTCCATAAATATTATCTATCATCTGATATCTACCAGCATCACCATCATCATCATCATCATCATCATCATATGATTACCTACCAGGTTTGTTTCTTAGCTCTTCATTCCAGAGAGAGAATCTCATCTCTCTCTCCTAAACCCAGATAAATAAATCTGATAGTTAAAAGGTACAATGCTAAAACTCATTACACTACTGTTACATTAATTTTATTTTTATATAAGAAATTATAAAATGTTTTTGTAGTTTAACTAATATGTATTAATTATAAAATAAACACTCACGTAACAATAATCTGCATAGCCCTCATTGAATATATTCCCCTCTCTCAGATATAACTTCTATCTTGATTAATGATTCTCTTACTTTTATTTGGGGTTTCATCATATACATATTTATATTTGAAAAATATATTGTTAGGATTTCTGTGGCTTTGGACATTGTAAAGCTTAGCTATTCCATATACATTACTCCATGATTCACTTTTCCTGCTCAAAGTTAGGATTGTAAAGGAAATCCATGTTCAAGGGTAAAGAAATACCATTTTCTCCTTTTCACTCCTATGATGCATTCCATTGTATGACTACACAACATAATTACATATTCTATTGTTGATGGATACTTGTGTCATTTAAAGTTTTTTGCCATTATAAACATTGCTTCCATGAACATACTCATATAAGCTTCCCTGTGCACATATTCAAGACTTCTCTCTGCTTGCAACTAGCAGTGAAATTGCTAAGAAATGGGTTAGGCAGATGCTTGAGTTTGATAAACAACATCAACATTTTTAATTAAAGTGATCATAGTCCATGTAACTTTAATCAATTGAATCTACCGTCAGAATTTGAGAGTTCTTATTGTTTCATGTCCCTGCTGTAATTTTGTAATGACATTTCTTTTTTGTCAAAGGAGTAGCTATGCATGTTTTCTTCATTGTAGTTTCATTTAACCTGACCCTCATTACTAATAATGTTCTGCATCTTCTTATATGCTACCAAGTATTTGGATTTGTTCTTTTTTAGTGTCGGTTTAAAAGCCTGGCTTATTATAATACATACATCACAGTCGTTTCAGTTAAACACTGTGAGGGCTGGTATTAGATCTCTTGTGTTGAATATATCATTCTTTGAAGTATGCGTTCACTCATTCATTTTTAATATATTTTGAAGTAGTTACTGAAAGCAAAATGATAAGTAAACTCTGTCTTTAAGAGACAGGGTCTTGCTCTGTCACCCAGACTGGAGTATAGTGGTATAGTTACAGCTCACTGCAGCCTCCAACTCCTGAGCTCATGGTATTCTCCTATCTCTGCCTTTTGAGATGCTGGGGTACAAGCACATACCACCACGCTTGCCTACACTTTTAAAAAATATTTTATTTTTTGTAGATAGGAGATGTCTTGCTGTATTGACCAGATTGGTCTCAAACTTCTGCCCTCAAGCAATTTTCTTACCTTGGCCTCCCAAAGTGTTGGAATTACAGGCATGAGCCTCAGTAAACTCTTTCATACTTACCTGCACATTGTAGTTGTTTTGTGAACTTTAAATGGCTAGGCCGGGCATGGTGGCTCACGCCTGTAATCCCAGCACTTTGGGAGGCCAAGAAGGGTGGATCACAAGGTCAGGGGTTCAAGACCAGACTGGCCAACATGGTGAAACCCCATCTCTACTAAAAAATACAAAAATTAGCTGGGCATGTTGACGTGTGTCTGTAATCCCAGCTACTTGGGAGG